CTAAACCCAGAAGTTTGTGTTTGCGGGGTATGCCCTAGCCTGGAGTTTGGCAGGGATTTTTCTCTGTGTTTGGCTCCTTTTATAGCCCCATAATGCTTGGCCTGTCTGTGTTTCTTTCTTAACTTGGCACTGCTTTCTTACGGTCAAGTGTTTTTTTTATTATAATAGACTCTTGGTTGCCGAAGATGGTGTGGTGCTGAAAAATCCCCCCATGAGGCAAAGCCCAGGTAACACAGGTGGTATGGTACCAAAATGGCAGTGGGCTGGTGGCCCTGTCTGTGTCCATCCTGAGATCTGTAGAACAAACTGAAGGCAACAGCTTCTGAGTCCTGGGAACGCTGGGTTGTCTCACAGGTTGAATGTAGTGTTGGATAGGCCAGTGTGGGTACTGACACAATATGATGAGTGCTCCCAGAGCACCGGAATGGGATAGAGTCACCTACCTCTTTCTGGAGGGCTGGGCCATCTGGTATCATCAGCTTTAGCAAAGGCCCAACTCCGCTCAAATTATCGTTGTGTTTCCTTTGTTCATGTTCCCATGGCAGGGAAGTTAAAGTTGTCATCCTAGAAAGCCACCTCAGGTCTAGTGGGACATCAGCTACCAAAATCAATTGTATTGTTTCAGCTGTAGAAAACAGTGATGAGTTGACCTTTGGATATCGGTAGCTGCTCACAGATAGCGCTGTTATTCAGCTGATGAGTCTGTAGGCACTTGGCTTTGCAGCACCAGTTTTTACTGGGCACCTTGCAGAGAGAGTTGTCAAGGAATGTCGGGTCACTGAACTTCTCTGTTTCTGTGGTGTTACCTCAGGAAACAGTTGATGCTTGGCTAACTTGTGGTTTCTAATTTTTGAGTACTTAAATCATGCAACTAGAACATTCTGTTGCTTCTTTCAGACTCCATGATTAGTAATGAAAATTGAGGTGATGTAGGTGCCACACAATACAATGCTGTTTGGATACATCTGAATTTTATTTTAGTTGGAGGGTGCAAAAAGGGTTGAAAGTCTAATGCTAGTTATCACAGTTGTTGAAAGAGACACTGTTGGATGGAGTGAAGAAGTAAAACCAAAAAAGCCCAAAAGCACAAACTAACCCCTTTGGTATTCAAAAGACTGGAAATTTTGTCTTGTGATGCACAAAATGTATGGCTCAATGTAATTATTTTCTTAAAATTTGTTGATAGCTAGCTTTGATCATCAAAGGATGGAGCCAATAGGCAGTTATGAGAAATTGAATGATCCTACTGTATTTCATTTGAGATTGTAGATGCATCTTCTCATGTCGTGTATAAAGACAAGGCATCTCTGAAGAATGCAGCCACTAAGGATTTACTTAACTGGCCACTGGATGCCAGTATTGCTCTGCAGAAACTGGTAGTAGAAAGCTTATTTTTGTGACTAATATTGCAATGGCTGCTCCAGTGTCAGAAGCATTTTATCACTTGTTTTCTAAACTGGGATAAAGGGTGGGTAATGTGCTAGAATGAAACATACACTTCATTTTACTTTCTCGTGAGGCTGAATACAGAGGGGTTGTTGATTTTATATTTGACCTGTATTAAAGTACATTAGATTTTACAATCGCCCATAGCAGCATACTTTGTAATGAAAATAACATCATCTTTGCAGTTGGCTCTGAACTGACTGAACAAATCTGTAACACCTGTGGCAATTTTAAAAATCCTGTACTTGTGGGCAGAATTCCAGGATGTGTAGGAGTTCTGAATATGAAGACAGTGGCTTCTGTCCTTACGTCTAGGAGTTCATACTTGAAGACATGGTGGAGAGATAAGTTTATTTACTGCCGTAATAGTGTTAAGATATTTGTCAAGGAGATGCTCCTAATCTTCTAATGGCTATCAGAGGCTGAAATGAGGGTTTGCTTTGTTTATTGGTTTGGTTTGGTTTTAAGAGATGCCTTGTTCTGGTGAAGGCTCAGAAATTATGAAGTTGCCAACTTAGTCACTATTGCCACAAGGATTAATATGCAGAATACTCAAAGGAGCACACCACTGTTCACCTCATGCTGTACATTCATTCAACAGGAAGACACTGGATTTGGCAAACCTAACTGCCATATTGAAACACTTGAGTGGGAATGTATGCTTTCTCTGTTTCATGTCAGTCCAACATGCCATCT